GTCAAGTAAGCTTCATGGCAAGTGTATGAAAAACAGACCTGAACCCTGCCTTTATCCTGAGCTATCCTATCATCTTTGACAAACACAAGCCCATTGCTGCTGTCACTGTGTCAATCCATTTCGATGGAGTCTTGATGGCAAGGAATTGCATTGCAAATGCAAAGGTACATGGTTCGAATCCACCAACTGCTTTACAGGAGAAAGATGGGCAATCTCCTCCTGTACCATTTACTGTGTCTGAAAACCTTCTGGAGGGTCAGCTATGGTTTGGTTACAACTTGATGGTAACAACATTCCTCCTCAAGATTGGATAATCTCATAAAACAAGCTGGTATATTCCATTTAGGAGGTGGTCAGTTCACTGCTGCTTGAGCATTAAGGAACCTTTTTGCATTAAGGAATACTGATGTGTGTTAAAAAGTCCTTCATATTCTGGGCTCTATTAAGCAATCCAGCTCCCTACACTACTAAACAAGTTTGGGGTTTCCCCTCCTATATATTTGCTGCTTGTGCCTCTAGGCCTTTGCTTATACTGGCATATCTTTGCTCCTTTCATCATATCAGGTACTCGTCTACTCTTTCAAGTATCACATGCCTTTTGTTAAGTTTTTCCTGATTCCCTTTTTATTCTTCCAGACTGACCACTGCCATCATTTGTACCCCTATACTTCTCTTTCTTTAAAGAAGAGAGAGAATTAAGGTCTACTCCCTAAACTCAGCACATCTGAGTGTTAAAAACCTGCTTCTGTCAACTTTCCTAGTTTTGAGGGCAAAATATGGTAGCTAAAGGGCATTGTCTCTACAGTTGACTGTTAATGAAATCTTTGAGCAAATTATTCAACCTCCTTAAGCTTCCGTTTCCTCAATTTAAAAACTACCTCATGGGATTGTTGTGAAGATTAAAAGAGATCATGTCTGTGACTTATTTAAGATCTTGCCTTGTTGTTGTTATGTGCCGTCAAGTTGCTTGCGACTCATAGCGACCCTATGTACAACAGCCCTAAACTCTGCTCTGTCCTGTGTCAATAGCACTGTCTCTGACATTCCCATCCCGATTATCCCAGTCACTGAATCAATCCATCTCATAGATGGCCTTCCCCTCCTGCACTGTCCCTTCACCCTACCAAGCATGATGTCCCTCTCCAAGGACTGATCCCTCCTTACAACATGTCCAAAGTGTGTTAGACGGAGCCTCAGAATTCTTGCCTCCAAGGAGCCACCCGGTTTAACCCTTTCCAGGATGAATCTAGCCAAAATAAACTCACAAAATATTGTCTATTACTATTCTGCCCTGTCAGTAAGTCAAAGATCTTGGAGTATATCATATCTAACAAAAGTCTTTCAAAATTTTTATTCTCCTTTATCTTTACTTATGAAATAATGGTGTCCTGATATTTAAGAGTATATTACAATGTCATATATATTATATAGTGTATTATATACATAATGTAGTATATTAAGAGTATTTACAATGCTCTGTAAATAGCAGGTACTCAATTTACCTGCCAAATGAAAACTTTAATTTGGACTACACAAACTTTCACCTGAATTATTCCAACATCCTAATTGCTCTCCTTTTCCTCAGTCTCTCTCCATCTTGCACTTCATGATGCATCCCCTCCTTACAACCATCAAAAGCTTTATAATGCTTTCAAAGACAAAGTTAAAATTGTCCACAGTCTAGCATTCAAAGCCCTTTATATCTTCTACTTAAAAGAAAAAAAATCTACTGCTTTCTTGTCTCATCTCTTTCTTTCTCACATAGCTAAGTTTTGTTGGAGTCTTTTCTACTGCCTGATTCCATTCTGTTTCCCCTCTCTCCCTATACAAAATACTCAGTCTGTCACTTCCAGGAAGCCTTTCCTAGATGTTAGATCTTCTTCCAAAATAGAGTGTCTTTCTTGGCCCTTCTCTTAAGTAGCTCTACTTGACTCAGCTTTTGCCTTCTGAATGTTTAGTTGATCTAGGCCCATAGGAGCACTCCACACCCCACCCCACCCTCATTTCCTCTTAGCCTGGCTGAGGGATCAACCAGATATGGTGGTCGCCTCACTATGACTTGGAACAGAATGGATTGGTTGGGAATGGGTTTTGGTACAATAGTGGGACTGGGGCGGGTGGTGATGTAAGGGAAGAAAAGAAAGTAAATAAACAATTAATTAATGGTGGTGGTGGGGTTGTTGGGGAAGGAAAAGAACCAGAAAATTAGTTTCTCCAGAACCATGGCCATTTATTACCACTTTTCCTCTCTGATCTAGTCCTCTTTCTTTAGCCATCCCTTCTCACAACCTCAGGAATCCTCATCTCCTTTATCAACAAACTTCTCTCATTTCCCCAGACCCTTCCTACTTTCTTTCACTTTACATCTTGAATGCTTTCCCTTCCCCACTTGGGTCCTCAACACCCAGTCCCCATCCCACCTCAAGCCAGGTTTAGCATTCCAGAAGCTCTAGGTTGACACAGCTTTCTTCTACATTCCCCAGGAATTATCTAAGGCCCCAGGCCAGTTCCACTGGAAATTTTTCCCCCTCCTCCACAGCCAACCTGATCCTTCTCCTCTGCTGCCAATATAGGCCTACCACACCCTCCTCTCCACACAGGCCCACTACACAAGATTCTGTGCCCCCCCCCCGCCCCCCCTTTATCAAGGGCCCACACACTGTGAGGATTCTGTGACTACTTTCTACAACCTTGTGACTTATCCCAGAATCTCCAACTCTAAATTCCAAGGACACTTTTCCACACCCACTTCCTCAAGGTTTCATCATCCCCCATACCCCCTTTTCCACGCAGAGATTTCAAGCTCCCTTTGCCGACCTGAGTGGGCCCTTCCTCCAGACACTGATGCCACCACCACCTTGAGGCCTCTGCCCCCCCATCTCCACCCCAAACCTCTAGCACAAGGCCCAGGGTTAGCCTGCTGGCCAGCAGCTCGGCTTGGCGGCGATCTACTTCGGCCGTGTCCTCTGGACCCCACCCCCTCACACCACTGGTCTGCTGGGCCTAAGGCCTCCGCTGTCCCTGGTGCGAATAGGCCTACCTCTCAGAACCTGCACTTTCACTCTTTGACTGTTACTCCTCAAGTCACAGACCAAAGTTTCTTGCCCTTGTCTGCTGCCAGGACTAAAACCTGCCGTTAGCACTCCACTGCCTGGCCTGCTCTGGCTCCATCTGGCTGGAGGCCTTCTCTCCACTTTACCGGCCTGCTGGACTCCCGCGCCCACTAGCCCTTGTAGTTGTCCGGCCCCTCCCGGCCCTTTATCCAGACACCCGGGTCGCAGCATTTGCGGTTTAATCTGGTGGCTCTCCTCTGAGGGACAGGCCCTTCGGATCCTTGAGGCCGCACTCGGAAAGGGCCTGAGGCCTTTCACACCCACTGGGATCAAGGCCTCCTAGAGGCGACGCGCCCCCTCCATTACGGCCCGTCAGTCCAGGATTCCCAGGCGTCAGTCCAGGATTCCCAGGCTGTCAGCCCGGGATTCCCAGGCCGTCAGTACCGGATTCCCAGGCCCCTGTCCGGCCTTAGACTTCTTTGGCCCTTCCCGCCCTCCCATCTTTCCGGCCTCCCTCGTTCGCCGAGTTCGCTGTCCCGCTCCCGGCCTCCCTCCACTCACTCTCGGGCCCTTCGTCGCCGATCCGGCGAATCCGAGTGGCCTCCAGCGCTCCGTGCGCCGCCGCTGGCCAGTCATTCCGTCAGTCTGAAGTAGAGGCCCGGCCCGTGGGTCCGCTCACTTCGGCCTCGGCACATCATACAGGCCACGGAACCCCGAGCCTTTCGGCCTCCCCGCTGCCCCATGCCGGCGCTCTCCAGTCCACCAGGCGGTCCCAGCATCTCGGCTTGGCCCCCGGAGTCTCAGGACCCGAGGTGTGTCAGGCAGCGGGCCGGGGCCAGCGGTCCAGTCCGGCGGCCCCAGGCCCGGCCTTTCGGCCTTAGGCCGAGCCTCTCGACCTAGGCCCCCGCCCCCAGACAGTGGGGCCATCCCGGCCCGTCGGTCCTAAATCAAACTCCTTCGCCTGACAGTGCCCGAATGTCACTGTGGTGACAGAAGCCCCGAACCATCATTTCAGCTTCTGTCATTCAGGCTCCGGCTGCTTTGCTCAGCCACGGGCCTCCGGGCTTTCCGGCCGGCCTCACCCTCCGCGCCCCCAAGCCAGGCCGCAGCACAGTTCCACCTGTCCTTTTGGTCTCCGTCATTACTTTCTCCAGTCCGGCCAGCCACGGAATTAATTCACTAGCCCGAGATCCGGCTTCCAATGCCCAGGGCTGGGCCTTGCCCCGGGCCTCCCGGCCTCGCCCCCCCGCGCCCCCGGGCCGCCCCCCGCTCATTGCGAGAGGCAGCCCTTCACCCCGCGACTTACCCCACACCCCGCTCTCCAGAACCCCCATATGGGCGCTCACCGCCCGCCCGCACAGCTCGAACAGGGCGGGGGGAGCGCTGGGGCCCGAGGCCGAGCTCTTCGCTGGCGCCGCCTCCCGGGACGTGGCCTCCATGGTCGTTGCCGCCGCTACCTCACAGAACCAGCAACTCCTGGCGCGCCAGGCCCCGGGCGCCGCCATCTTGGGGAGGTGCGCGAGCCTGAGAGTGACACACGCGGGCGGCCATCTTGAGAAGGTCACCAGTTAGGACGGATTTATCATAGTTGTAGGGAAGCATGATGAGTATGATAAAACAGCATCAAGAGAGTAAACATATTTTTCAAGTTCTTTCAGAACTATTACTTTAAATAACAGTACAAATAAATATATTTGGGTCTCTCGTGGTCAAGGGATTATTGCTTGGCAAAGTGTCCTCGGGTGCAAATAGTAGTCACCCCTGCCTTCTGTATTTGGCCGTTAGTACATGCCAACTGGAGCCTGTGTTCGCGACTAAGACGAGTATGCCGCACTTCCGGCCAAGTCGCCGGATATCCTCTGAGTGACCCTTATAAGTCCTTCTTGGTCCTGAAGTGGAGTGTCTGTCTCTGTTGCTGCTGTTTTTTAATTTAAAACCGAGCCAGCTATGGGACTAGAGGACGACCAAAAGATGTTGACTGGATCCGGAGATCCGAAGGAGGTAAGACACGGTTATAAACTTGACCCTCTTCACTGCCCTAAAGCTCCGGACCTAGCCCGCCAAATTACGGCTGGGGCCCCCTTGGGCCTGGTTCTTTCCAGAATTGAGGTCCCCTCAAGCCTTACTTAACATCTTATGTTCGTGGCCATGTCGAGAACTAGATCTTTCTCTTCGTTTTCTCATCTGCGAACCTGCAGGAGGTTTAACGGTTCAAAAATGCTGTGTCGGCTGACCTTCTGTTAAAATGTACATATTTTTACGAATAGTATTTTTATTCAGACACTCTGAAGCTCTGGTTTGACCGGTTTGGGGAGCAAATAGACCAACTCTACCTTTAGCCTCAGTGCAAATCATGAATCCCCTACCCCGTCTTTCTATGGTGGCTTGAGAGCTGCCATTACACTCGTTCCGTGAGTAAGTGGTTTAGTTTTTAGAGGGTAAGGGTCTTTAAGGTCTGTGTAGGAATGTGCAGTATAATTTGTGATGAAGGTGACATGTCTTTCCTAGAGTAAGAATACTAAGATATACTAAAGAAAGCCAGTATTGTCTGCTTAAGGTTCCAAGCCTTGTATGAGCACTAAATCTTTTATCAAAACAATATTCCTGTGAGGTAGGTGTTGTTGAGTGGCGTCAGTAGACTACCACTCATAATGACCCTTTAAACAACAGATCTGAACCTTGCTTTGTCCTGCACCTCTTCATGTTCTCTCATAGGTTCAAACTCATTGTTACAGTCATTGTGTCAGTACATCTCATTGAGGATCTTTCTTTCGCTGACTCTCCACTTTGCACCGCTCTATGTCTTTTATTCCAAAGACTGGCCCCTCTTGACAGTAGGCTAAAGCATGTGAGAAGAGGTCTAGGCGGTGGTGGTGTTAGTTATTACTGACCAGTCTATGAGAGGAGATTGCCCATCTTTCTCCCTCCAAGCAGCTAGTGGATTTGAATTTTTATTTCTTTGTATTAACAGTACAACTCCTTACCACTAAGGGGTTTTTTTTAATACAAATAAGAAAACGAGCAGAGAGAGGTTAAATGCTAGAGCCAGGATTCCTTCTTCCTGTTAAGCAGAGCTTTTTTGTTTCCAGTCTTCTCTTGATTCTTTTGATCTCTGATTATTTTAGAACAGCCATCCTAGACGTGTGGATTCATAATATCTGGAAACTTGTTTATCCCATAATGATTTTTTTTCCCTAGTAAAATGATTAACTTGGTGGCTGCAGCATTCAAGACCTGGCTGTTTTTCCAGCTCGGCACAGAGTTAGTCTGGACAGCTAACAACAACAGTCTTATTTTTAGAAAGAAGTGCTAGCAGTGGGAATTACACCAGGAAGCTCAGAAATCCCACAACTGTAAAATAAGGGGAGGAAGGCACAAACAGTCAATTTCAAAATGCAGGGAACTGCAGCAGCAGACTTCTATCGCTCAGCTATGGCCAAAATCAAAGCTTGGTTTCTTCATGGCAAGAAGGAAGTGGAGCATAATGCTTTTCCAGCATCTGCAGGTCACCACCACCACAGAGAGTGCAGCTTCCAGTCTCTCCCAAAGCTGAGGGGTCTGAAAATCCATTGCCCATGTTCTCACTGTTACCAATCAGACTCAGAAGGAGAACCTTTGAAGGTACTATTAAGGGCAAGAAGTAAAAATTCCTGGATCATTTAGGGGGTCAGGGACAAAAGACAGGTAATGTAGCACTTCTGGTTTTGATTACTACACCTTCAACTATTTTGATTCGATTTTTTTTTAAAAAGCCCTTAAAAAGGATTTGAAGAAGCTACCCAGGGTTTTGTCTTTTTGGTTCAATAGAAAGATTTCACAGTGATATGGTACCACTTTGAAGGGGAGAGTCTGAGTTTCTCTGTGATAAATCCCTTTGCCAAATGTAGGAGTTGCAGACTTGCTACTGGCAAGAGTGAAGCAAGTGGGTGAGCACAGCTATCCTGATCGGGGAGCGATTTTTAATAGTTCAGTCTAGATAAAAAGTGTCAATGCAGGAATTGAACACTGAGGGAGATATATAGAATCTCCTGAAAGGACCTGCCAACTATTTCTGGGCAATAGTGTTGCCATTACTTGAGGTAGAGCAGACAGGCTACCTGCTTTCTGAGGTGTTGAGGTGAGTAGCTGAGCCAGGGGGAGGTTGGTTGATTGAGAGAAACAAGGGATTCTTGGTTAAACGAATACTTTGTTGGGGAACCAAAAACCTTAACTAGTAATCTCTTGGTCATTGAGCCACAAATTTTCCCTGGAAAGAATGCATCTCTTCCAGCAAAATCTTCCTGGGAGTTAATGTAACGAAGGAATGAACTGAGATGAATGTGTGGAGGTGTTATTTAATGGTATAGTGTACTAGGAATTAAAGACTTGCAGCAGATTTCAAATCCCAGCTCTTGATAAAACTTTTTAAAGATTGTGAAATTATCAAAATGCACATGAATCAAGTTTTATAATACTGTATGATGGGTAGATGAAGCTGTCCATTGTACCATTTCTTTCTTTGAATTCTCAGGCATCGTTTTGGCAATGCAAGAATTCTGTAACAGTAACAAATTCAATAAAAGGAAATCTATGGGAAAAAAAATTCCTGGATCTACAACCCAAGAAAACATGTGCCATGCACCAAGGCTCAACAAGTATGAGAAGAACCTGAAGACCAAGAAGCAATAACGAAAAGAGTACCTGTATCCACTGCAGAAATACACACGCAAGGCCTGAATATCTCAAATAAAGCACAAACCTAAAAAAATCCCCCTCAAAACAAAATGCAGATTTTATGAGCAATATATAACCCCTAAATTTCTTTTTAGTATAACCTTAATTTTTTCAGTGGCTGGAAATTTCATAGGAAAAGTTTGGCTTGGATTATTTCTCTTTCTACAGCATAGGTCATAATGCTTTTGGCACACAATTACCTGTGCAATGTTGCTAATAGGAAAATGGTATAAAATATCTTGCTCCATCTTTGGTAGAATTTGGTGTTGAAAACACAATGGGAGATTGCAAGTTCTTTTATTTCTTTCTCTTTGCTTAAGTGTGGACAGCTGTGTCTTGTACATGCAGACAAACAGTGAGGAGTAGTGACTGTTTTTTAATAATATCTTTAAATATTAAAATTTAATATCTTTAGTCTGTTCTCATTATTTTTGTTATGATCGCTAGTAATTTTGTTTCCTGACCACCTTTTATTTTCACATCTTTGCTATAAAGTAGTTGCTCATAATTTGATCTCATGTAGATGATGACTTTTGTAAAGGGTTGCAGTATCAATGGGATATTTATTTTGTGACCAAACTTACTTAGCTGAAAGATGACTTCAGGGTAGTTTGAGTTTAAGGTTAAAAGAGTACTTTGAGGACATGGTTTGTGGAATTCTCTAGTCTCAACTGGTCAAGTAAGTGTGGAATTTTTAAGCATTTGAGATCTCTTTCAGTTTCTCTCCCCTTCTGTCATGATCTCTATTGTGGAATTACACAGAATGATTAGTAATCATAGTCTGATAAAACTAGTTTTTGTTGTCTTGGGGTACAAGAGGCCATGGTTGATAGATACTTCTGTTGACTAATCTATTCCTAATCTTGGGTTACCTTCTTTCTCTTTTGTATCAGAAAAGTAAGAGACCACTATCTTAGATTACTCCTTGCAAACTTTTAAGACCCTAGACACTACTCCCAAACTTGAGCTATAGAACGTGCACTATATGAATTTTTTAATGCCATTTGACCAAACTGTCCCATAAGGCTATGTGTAAACATGTTATATCTAAAGATTGTTGAAACATTGCTATTGATGTAGACTCTGCTGATGCTTCTGTGGGATTTATGAAAAACAAAAACCCAAAGCCCTCCTTCAAATAAAGTAGATTAAATTTGATGCTGAGTGTTTGAAGACAATAAGAAGGGCTGGGCAAAATAGCTGGGATGGAATGTAGGAGTCATTTTTTTAAACCAAACAGTAGCTTCATTAAAGAAGCATGCCTGCCTTTAACATTGTGTTCTTTTAAAGATTTACCAGTGTTAGATCAGATTGACAGTAGCAGTTTGAAAAGGTAGGTGGCAAGTTTAAAAAGATGACAACTTGAAATATGTGACCAGTGTCACTGTCAGTAGGAACCTGTATAATGGCTGTGTATATCTTTACCCCAAAAAAAGAGATGTAACTGGCTAGAATCTAATGTTCCTAAACCATAGGTGGGGTCATGCAGACTTTTGTGCACATACATTGATTGCCTACTTTAGTGTGGGAATTCAGTGATCAGAACCATCTCTAGTAAAACTCTGGCTAAAAAGAGAATTTAGGTTTGGCCATTTGCCTATCCAAATTCAGGTTCAAAGTGTTAACATTACTCTTTTGCTTTTCATATTGTGGAATATAAAGACTAAATTTAGTTCATCAAAAATTTTTATCATTCCCACATGAACTGATAAAGTATGTCTGTGAAAGAATTACTTCTCAACAACAAAAAAGACAAAAATCCTTACCACTGGGCCAATAGACAGCAACATGATAGAGCGAAAAAGATGGAAATTGCCAAAACGATTTAGTCTGACTGGGATCCATAGTCAACACTTGTGAGGCCAGAAGTTAGAAATCAAAAGATGTCTTGCATTGGGAAAGTCTGCTGTCAGTGACTTCTCCAAAATATTAAGGAGTAAAGATGACTAAGGTGTCATAGTCTGTTTCATGATTTTTTCAGTCATTTGCTAGACATTGAGAACTAGACAATGAATAAGGATGACAGAAGAATTGATACCTTTAGTTATGGTGTTGGAGAAGAGTACTGATTGTCTCATGAACTGGGAAAATGAACGAAAAGATAGGTCTTGGAGAAAGTGCAGCCAGTTTTCCTTGGAGGCAAGAATGATGAAGCTTCATCTCACATACTTTGGGTATGTTGTTAGGGGAGGCTATTTCTTGAAAAACATGATGCTTAGAAAGGTAGAAGGTCAGCAAAGTAGAGGAAGACCTGCAACAGGATAGATTGACAGTACAGCAGTGGGATCACATATGTCAGAGATGATGAGGGTGGCACAGGATAGGATAGGGTTCCAATCTATTGTTTATAGGATCACCATGAGTCATACTCCACTCAATGGCATCTAAGAACAACAGACTTTATGGAATCTTTGAAGCTGAATGACTCCTAAAACTAATGAAATTGTCTATTTACTCTTATTTCTAAATTGAGATTACTTCTTTAAGAGTCCTTAAAGGGTTATTGTGACTAATCAGATTATAACAGATAAGAATGTACTTTTATAAAATATATTTGTTGCTAATGAAGTAAGAGGGCATGTCTTTCCTCACTAATTATATTATTAAGTTGATGAAGTATGTATATGTCATAAAATTGCCACTGACATGAATTTTATTTTCCTTTTTTAGGAGGAAGAAGAGGAGGAAGAACTAGTGGTAAGAACTCTGAGATTTAGAACCATCATAGTAAAAGCAGGAAGTTTGAACTGTGTGAAACTTTAAAGGCATTTTGAGGAGTCTTTATATCATAGGTTGGAGAGATTGAAGGTGAAATAAGCGTTGAGTATGGGTTTTAGAAATGGAATTTCTTTTTTTTAATAAGGCTTCTTCCTTCTCCAGTCAATGCCCTAGGACTAGAGGATCCATCCTTAGGATTTGCCACTAAATCACCTGGTATTTGTGTTTTCATAAAGAATTTGAAAAGAAACCCTCCTTAGGTGGCCCCACTTAGGTGGCAGTGTGGCTCTGACAGCTGGCCTTCTGCTTGGTAATTCAGAGGCAGCACCTTGGTTTTTCAGTTGTATTAATCAAAGCATATGGTTTGGTTGGGCTCCCCTTAAAACGCTTATTTTGCACTGTAGTCCCAGAGGTGAGCAGTTCGAATCTACCAGATTCTCTGCTGGAGAAGGAAGGACAATCTCCTCCTGTCCAGTCAGATCCAATTTGACGGTACACACACACAAGAATAATTTTTTTTTAAAAAAACCCACCACGTTTTTTCTGTCTTTTCACGTCTTTTTCTGTGTTTATCCTTTAGGATCCCCTAACAACAGTGAGAGAACAATGTGAGCAGATGGAAAAATGTTTAAAGGCTAGGGAGCGACTAGAGCTCTGTGATGAACGCGTGTCCTCCCGATCACACACAGAAGAAGATTGCACAGAGGAGCTCTTTGACTTCTTGCATGCAAGGGACCACTGTGTAAGTCATGCTAAAGTTAGTAAGGGGAAGACTTGCTAGTAATAGCTTTTCCATCGTAGGGGCAATAAGCCTTTAGTATGAGACCAATATATATACCAGGGAGAGTACTGAGCACTTTACACAACTAATCTGCCACTCCCACTGGATAGGTATTATTACCTTCATATATATCTTTAAGCGTGTCTCGTGCATTATAGTTAATCCAGAAATTTTTTTGTTTAAATTTACATGGCTAATACATAAAATATTAAGATATTTTATATAAAATGACACATAAAGTATGGGATAGTTTCTTATATTAAAACTGATTGACCAGTTGGCACATGAAAAGATGTTCAGTATCACTACTCAATTGGGAAAATGAAAATAGAATCTGTGGGATTCTACTTCATAGCTACTTTTTCCTTTGCAGTTTTGTTTTTTCTGTCTCATGGTGACCTCATGTATGTCAAAATAGAACTATTCTCTGTAGAGTTTTTAATGGCTGTTTTTGTAGAGGGAAGTTGGAAAGAGAGAGAAGATCACTGGGTCCTCCTTCTAAAGTGCTGCTAAGTTTCCAGGTTTCCAGCTTTTCAGCTAGCAGTTGAGTACATTAACCATTTGCACCAGTCAGGAGCAAGAATGGCTATAATGAAATAGACAATAACAAAGATGTGGAGAAATTAGAATTCTATACTTCTAACTTGGAAGACTGAGATGTTAGTAGAGACTCTGTATATTGCACTAGAGCACCAAGAAGCAAAAGCAAAAGGAAGAAAGCAGGAAGTTAAGGAGCTGAACAGAAAATTTTAAAGGGCAGCTCAGGAAGACAAAGCAAAGTATTATAGTGAAATGTGCAACGAGCTGGAGTCAGAAAATCAAAAGGGCTGAACTTGCTCACCATTTCTTGAGTTGGAGACAATGAAGAATACGTTTAAGCCTCAATTTGTAATACTTAAGGATGCAACAGGCAGAATATTGAAGGACCTAGGAAGCAGTAACAGAAGATGGAAGGAGTACACAGTGTCACTGTATCAGAAAGAATTTTTTGACACAGAATATCATGAAACATACGATAAAGAAGCAATGGTGATGAAGGAGGAAGTTCAGGCTGTTCTGAAAGAATTGGCAAAAATCAAGGCCCCACGGATTGATGGAATACTAGTTGACATTATTTCAACAAACATACTGTTCTGGACTTGCTCACCAGGTTATGCCAAGAAATCTGAAAGACAACTACCTGGCCAACTGACTGGAAAAGATCCATATTTGTTCCCATTCCAAAAAAAAAAGGTACCCAACAGAATGGAAATATTGAACAATACCACTAATATCACATGCAAGCAAAATCCTGCTGAAGATTATCCAGAAACACCTGAAACAGTACATTGATGGAGAACTACCAGAAATATAGGCCAGGTTTAGAAGAGGGTGTGGCACTAAAGACCTTATTGCCAACATCAGATGGATCTTGGCTGAAAGCAGAGAGTACCAGAGGAGTGTCTATCTGTGTTTCATTTACTATGCAAAGGTATTCAACTGGATCATAACAAATTGTGGCTAACTTTGAGAAGAATGGGAATCCCAGAACACTTGATTTTGCTCATATGAAACCTGTGGAAGCAGTTCTCAGAACAGAGCAAGGAAACATTGTATGGTTCAGAATCAGGAGAGGTGTGCATCGGGGATGTGTCCTGTCTCCATAACTATTTAATCTATATGCAGAACAGATCATTTGGAAGGGTGGACTTTATGAGAAGAAATGCGGTATCAGGATTGGAGAAAGACTCAACAACCTACATTATACAGAGGACACAACCTCACTTGCTGGAACTAAGGGGGACCTTAGATGTTTGCTGAAGAAGGTCAAGGCTTTAAGTCTTCAATATGGATTGAAGCGCAACATCAAAAAAATAAAGATTCTTACCACAGAGCCAATTGGCAGTACCATAATAGAGAAGAGATTGAGGTTGTTAACAGTTACAGCTTACTTGGCTCCACAATCAACACTCTTGGCACCAGCAGTCAGGAAATCAAAAGACAAGCTGCATTGGGGAAATCCTGTCAGGGACCTCTCCAGAGAACAGTGATGTCAGTCTGGAAACTAAGGTTCACCTGATTCAGGCCATGGTCTTCGCAGTTATTTGCTATGCATCAGAGAGCTGGATAGTGACTAAAGATTATAGTAGAAAAAGAATTGATGCCTGTGAGTTGTGGTGCTGGAGAAGAGTATTGAGCATACCATGGACTGCCAAGAGAACAAACTTATCTGTCTTGGAGAGAGTGAAACTAGGCTGCTCCTTGGAGGCAAGGATTTTGAAACTCTGTCTCACATACTATGTGCATGTGGCCTGGAGAGACCAGTGTTTTTGGAGGAAAGACATAATACTTGGAAGGGTCAAAGGACAGCGCAGGAGAGGAAGACCCCAGATGAGATGGATTCACAGAGTAATGGGAGTAATAGGAATAATGTATTGAAAACAGTAAGACTGGCTTAGCATAGGACAGGGTTCAGAGTCACAGGCAACTCGATGGCATGTAACAACAACAACTTGGAAAGGTGGAGGATCAACAAAAGACTGTCATCAAGAGGGCTTGACACAGTGACTGCGGCAGTGAGCACAGTTGTGTCAGAGATGTTATCACAGGATAGGATGGTTCTGGTCTGTTCATAGGGTCACTATGAGTCGGACTCAACCAGTTGTTGTGTGCTGTCAAGTTGGAACAGACTCATGGCTAACCCTCCAGCTGGTTTTCAAATGCAGTAAATTACATGGGAGGAGATTACCTGTCTTTCTACTGGGGAATAGCTGGTAGATTGGAACTGTCTCCCTCTGGCTTGGCAGCACAGCTCCTTACCACTGAACCACCAAAGCTCCATTTTTTCCCAGTAGGAATATAAATTTGTATGTTGTTGTTGTTGTTGTTATGTGCCATCGAGTCGTATCCGACTCATAGCGACCCTATGCACAACAGCTCTAAACCCTGCTCTATCCTGTGCCAACGGCACCGCCTCTGGCACACCCATCCCGATTACCCCAGTCACAAAATCAATCCATCTCATAGAGGGTCTTCCCCTTCTGCGCTGTCCCTCCACCCTCCCAAGCATGATGTCCCTCTCCAAGGACCCGTTCCTCCTGGCAACATGTCCAAAGTATGTCAGAC